ACACACACATATATATATATATATATATATATATATATATATATATATATATATATATATATATAGTTTATTAAGTGTTTCCCCCCAATATATAATTAATTATAATTGCATATTTATTGTGATTTAAGTAATTTAAAGCTATATAAATTATTTCAGTTAAATAAAGCAAGTATGGGATTTTTTCCTCCCTTATTATGAAAGCACCAGATCGTCAGCCAGACTGGCATAATTTTGTTTGTCTGGGTGTCCAGATGATGCCCGGTGCGACACACAGGTCTCCTGTAGCTCAGACACCCACAGTGCTGTGATTACAGAGAGTGATGAACCACAGCCACAGGAAGGGGCACCACCAGTTCCCATATGTGCCCCAGGCCTACAGCTCAGGCTCCAGGATTAAACCACTGGGTGGGTAAACACAGGGGAGGGCACAGACAGATTGTCATCTCCCACAGTCCACAGAGCACACGGCAGCGGCAGGGTCAGACAGGGAGGAGTTTGGCTAACTTATCTATGAATCTAATCATCCTCCGACCATACATAACCAAACTGTTCACCCAGTCTCAATGTGGACGAAAAAGAACAGTTCCTTGTTACTATTTCTGTGTTTTTACTGTATGTCCCCAACAGTCCAAGCTAAACACTACAAAATAGCTGGGCTTAATGTGAGTGAATCAATGATTTTTCTTTGTGATTTTCCCCCCAATGCGTGTACATTGGGGGGAAAATCACAAAGAAAAATCATTGATTCACTCACATTCAGCCCAGCTATCGTTCAATAGCATGAGGTCATGAAGATTTTTCTCTATTTTTTAGTGAAAGAAATGAATACTTTTATTCAGCAAGGGCACATAGATGAAGTATGACAATAAAGATTTCCAACAGTCCACAGAGCACACGGCAGCGGCAGGGTCAGACAGGGAGGAGTTTGGCTAACTTATCTATGAATCTAATCATCCTCCGACCATACATAACCAAACTGTTCACCCAGTCTCAATGTGGACGAAAAAGAACAGTTCCTTGTTACTATTTCTGTGTTTTTACTGTATGTCCCCAACAGTCCAAGCTAAACACTACAAAATAGCTGGGCTTAATGTGAGTGAATCAATGATTTTTCTTTGTGATTTTCCCCCCAATGCGTGTACATTGGGGGGAAAATCACAAAGAAAAATCATTGATTCACTCACATTAAGCCCAGCTATCGTTCAATAGCATGAGGTCATGAAGATTTTTCTCTATTTTTTAGTGAAAGAAATTAATGAAAAATCTGTCAACATTTACTCACCTTCATGTCTTTCATGAAGACAATATGACTTCTGTCTTTCATGGAACATAAAGCAAGCTTTTTTTAAAAAAAGATTTCAGTCAATAATGGCTCAAATTTCAATCTGTTTCTCACATAAAAATACTGAAAGACTTCAAAAGACAGATATATATTGTATATGGATAATGTTATGATGCTTTTACAGTGTTTTTTAAAAATTATTTTTCATGTTCACTGCATGGAAAAGGGTGTCCAGATGATGCCCGGTGCGACACACAGGTCTCCTGTAGCTCAGACACCCACAGTGCTGTGATTACAGAGAGTGATGAACCACAGCCACAGGAAGGGGCACCACCAGTTCCCATATGTGCCCCAGGCCTACAGCTCAGGCTCCAGGATTAAACCACTGGGTGGGTAAACACAGGGGAGGGCACAGACAGATTGTCATCTCCCACAGTCCACAGAGCACACGGCAGCGGCAGGGTCAGACAGGGAGGAGTTTGGCTAACTTATCTATGAATCTAATCATCCTCCGACCATACATAACCAAACTGTTCACCCAGTCTCAATGTGGACGAAAAAGAACAGTTCCTTGTTACTATTTCTGTGTTTTTACTGTATGTCCCCAACAGTCCAAGCTAAACACTACAAAATAGCTGGGCTTAATGTGAGTGAATCAATGATTTTTCTTTGTGATTTTCCCCCCAATGTGTGTACATTGGGGGGAAAATCACAAAGAAAAATCATTGATTCACTCACATTCAGCCCAGCTATCGTTCAATAGCATGAGGTCATGAAGATTTTTCTCTATTTTTTAGTGAAAGAAATGAATACTTTTATTCAGCAAGGGCACATAGATGAAGTATGACAATAAAGATTTCCATTTCAAATTAATGCTGTTCTTTTGAACCTTTTTATTCATCCAAAGAATTCTGAAAAAGTCATTATAGTTTCTACAAAAATTCACAAGGGTTTTCAAAATTGATGATAATAAGAAATGTTTCTTGAGCAGCAAATCAGTATATTAGAATGATTTCTGAAGAATCATGTGACTGAAGACTGGAGTAATGAAGCTGAAAATTCAGCTTTGCATCACATGAATAGATTTCAAAATATATTAAAATAGAAAAGAGCTATTTTGAATTGTAATAATATTTCACAATATTTTTACTGTATTTTTTATTAAATAAATGCAGCTTTGATGACCATAAGATATATATTACCCCAAAATTTTAAATGGTAATGTAGTTTTTATATCATGTGTGTGTCCTCTGATGCCAGTTATTTCTTTTAAAGGTATAGTTCGCTCACAAATGAAAAATCTGTCAACATTTACTCACCTTCATGTCTTTCATGAAGACAATATGACTTCTGTCTTTCATGGAACATAAAGCAAGCTTTTTTTTAAAAAAGATTTCAGTCAATAATGGCTCAAATTTCAATCTGTTTCTCACATAAAAGTACTGAAAGACTTCAAAAGACAGATATATATTGTATATGGATAATGCTATGATGCTTTTACAGTGTTTTTTAAAAATTATTTTTCATGTTCACTGCATGGAAAACAGCAACGCAAGCATTCTGCTATATTTTCTATACCTTTCTACAAAAGAAATGAAGTCATACAGATTTTGAACAACATGAGGGTAAATAATAACAAATCTGTAGTTTTTGCGTAAACTGTCTTTGTAAGTAACCAGAATGCTTCGTCATGTCACTGTTCCAGAGGTTAAATGATAATGCAAGCTGGGCATTTTACTTTGACAGGTAGTACCTCTGTTTATTGCATGGTCTCCCTTTTGCCATCTACATCTGTCTTATGGGTGAGGATTTGATATCAGACCAAAAAGACCACAAGTATGCTAAAACTGTGGTGGCAAAGCACGCAAACTCTTAGAAAATCACACTCAAGGTGCTGCGTCCTGTCAAATTAATTGTTCGGAGATGATTAATGCTAGATGCATGCCACACAAAACACTGTGTTTAGCAGATACTGTGACATCTAGTTCTTCAAAGGTATGAATTATATAGGACATTGACGCCTGATAAATGCAATGCCAATTCAGCCCGTGGGCTGCCTAAGGTACAGCATGTATTCGTCTGTGTTGTTTTGTTCTTTTCCAAGGGTGTGAGAAACAGTATTCTCACACTAGGACTAATCAACGGGTTTTTGTTAAGTGAGTGTCTTCAAATCATATAAATGTGCTTTTAAAATCTTTTATACAAATGCTCATCTATGTAAATGCAAATTACAATTTTAATTGCGATATTTTTTTAACCATTTATGTAGGAAAACTCCACCTGAGAAAGACTTGTCAATTCTTGGAATTGCCTCTTGAAGTAGCCGCTTGTAAAGTAATCCTGTTTAAGACAAGAGTTGCCATACTGGAATTTTTATCCATATATGATCTCTTCCTTTGATAAAGTTACTCAGCTTGAAGATATTTTGACTGATGACACTATAACATACTCTGGACCAAAGACACTTGACTCTTAAATAGGTAGTTTTGTAAAGCTGACAGTTTGTTGACATAGTATAATATAAATGAAAATTATACTTACTAAAGCAGATGTTTGGCAGGGCAGTTGCTTAATTAAGTCAGATGTTATATTGTATTTATATTGAGAGATTTAGTTTTTCCAGAGGTTTTCTTCAGGAAAACCTGAAATCTTTATGCAGAAGCAGGTCTCTTACACCTCTTTATCTAAAAATGGACTTGGTCCCTTTTTTGTACTGTTTCATGAGCTTAATGTTATTGTGTTTGGCAGCAGTGTTAATTTCACTTACGAATAATTTTCGTTATAATTTTCATCAATGAAATTTTTCGAATTAACGAAATAAAAACTTGTTTTGAATGAGAAAAACTATGACGAAAATCTACAGAAAAGCGCCTCTCAGACAGAGCATGAGTACTGAATTCAGTTCTCTCTTGCGTCTTATTGCACATGAAAGGAGAAATACACACAAAATGATGTCAAAATGTCTGTTTTGAGTAGTCTCCTGTAGCCAGACCTTGCCGGGTGAGTCGTGACGTCAAAGACTGAGACTAGTTTTGGGGAGTATTCACGTAAACACACTCAACTAAGTCTTAAGTGAACGTAAAGGATGTATATTGCATAATTGCAGATGGTTTTAAAGGGACAGCAGGCTAATTTAGTTGCTGTTGTCTGTCATTAATGTTAATGAAGCAACAAAAGAAAGGGAGACAATCACCCACTGCTCTTGACTGAATCTCTTTAGTAGCCCTAATAATAAATATGTCTGCTTGATTGAATGAATGTTGTAGAATGAAGTTGTTATAATGAATGCATAGTAACCATTGGTATTTCATTGAAAAGAGGGCCATGTTCTTGTTTCTTTATAAGTGTTTTTTTTAATTTATTTTAATATAAATGTGTGTTGTGTGTCACATCAGTTAAATGTGTCAGTATTGCATGTTCAAACCGTAATATCTTTCATATTAACAGATTAATAGATGTTTTCTCTGGGATGAGTTTGTAAATTTTTGAGAAATGCTTAATAAATGCATTACACTTTAACTAAGCCCATTCAATTTTAATCAACTATATAAAACTATAATGTGACAAACATTTTAGTAAAATCACTGCCAAAATAAACACTGTTTGGCAGACTCAGTTGTTGCCAGGCTAGTCTATATCTAAGCTGTAATTTAATGTATTAATGTGTGGTAGCATTACTCATAATTACATTTTTGCAATTATTGCTATTGCAATATAGGTTAACAGGGTGTTTTCCGTGAATAAGGTGTGCATATAAAAGCATACTCGTTCACATAGTGAGACTAAACCCATAGTCCCAGTAACCCCATGCATGGTTAACGCAAGGCTTTAAAGTCAGTGTGAAATGAAAATTCATTCTGTCTATTTTCTAAATGCATGTAATTGATCTAACAGTGATTGATTCATACAGTTTTCTTATTTTTAAAAAACTTTTTTACTTCATAATTTTTAATCAAAATGTCAGAAATCGGTCTTCTGGTGAAATGACAAACTTTTCTCTGGTACTGATTTCTCCAATCATTTAGTCCAGTTAAATCCCATCCCTTTTCTACAATCGACTGCAAGCTCACATTCAACTGATCTGCCTCCATCCAATCAACAACCAATGGGGTAAACAGAACAGAACCAACATAAATGTATTGCAGATATCGTTAAAGTTCAATAATGTTATGTACACATTTTAGAATTAGTCTGATTCAAAGGAGAATCCTGACTGACAGAGGAGGTCAAACGTGAGTTTTGAGCAGTGTAGAGTAGCGCAACACAACGCATAAAAAGACAGTGTAAGTCATTATAATCCGTAATTATGTCTCCACTGGATGCAACAAATGCCTCGTTTATAATGGGTTTTAATGTTTTTGTCTTGTCTCTCTGGCCGGACAGGATATTACAGTATGGTGAAGGGCATAACATTTCCGTCACACGCTTGAGGTATTCGGCCAATCACAACACACTGGATAGCTGGCCAATCAGAGCACACCTCACTTTTCAGAATGATGAGCTTTGTAAAAATCGATGCGTTTCAGAAAGGCGGGGCATAGAGGAGAAACAATAATGTACAGTATGTGGAAAATAATGTGTTTTTTTAATCTTAAACCGCATAAACACATTTCATTACACCAAATACACAAAATAATGTTCTTTTTAGCAACATCATATGACCCCTTTAAAATGGTTCTACTGAAGAAAGTAAGTCAATAACTTTTATTTGAGGAATTCTGTTTATAATAGGCTTTTTTATGGCTTTGAATTTGTATTATTGGTTTCTGCACTGCCTATTAATATTGCTTTTGTTATGTCTGTTTTGAGTGTTTAAGATTAATGTAGGCTACGGTTATCATGGATATGACAATGTAGACAATATATATGACAATATTTCACTGGCATTTAGTATGGGAATTGACTGTTTGATTAATATGAAGTGGACCAATTTTCTTAGTAAACGTGCAAAGTGTTTGATTTTTAAATACCTAATTACCAAATTTGTGATCACCTAAAAATATCTAATTCTTTACCTTGCTATCTGGCCTAAACAAAATTAACATGACTTTACAACTGTTTGTAAAATCTTCTAGTTCATCGAACCTTCAAATTCATGACTAGCACATACTTAACTTTCTGCTGAATCTGCAGTATTTAATTGAACAGAAGTGAATCATAAAATGAACTCACTATAGATTAGTTGGTGATTAATATCTCCTTCTCATTTATTAAGGAGGAGTGTGATGAACCAGAGCTTGGAGATGTTCCAGTGATAGTTTGCCAGATCTCTTTCACCAACATGCTATTATTACAGCTTCAAGTGAAGGCATTTTGCTTTCGTTTGAACCCCCATAGATCCGGGTCCAGACTTGGCTAACCGTTGCAAACCGCAACAAGGCTAACACTG